ACGGTAAGTATGCGGTAAATAATTTTATTTATGATAAACGGATTTACTTCAATTAAGAGCTCAGTTATTTAGTTTTATGATTTCTACTAACTTTCATTTCCGTATCGGTAAGTTGTGTGACATTTTTATTGTGTTAGTGTAGTTCACTTTTTTATTAACGATTTCAGATTAAGAGAACCAAGATGCATATCCTGATCTATAAGAGGATTGCGAATAGGATGCTCAGTTGTTTGTTTTCTATTTATTTCTTTGAATTTTCATTATTTTTTTTAAAAGGGTCATTCTCGTAATTCTATTGGGTAATTTGAATTATTGTGTAAGGAATGTAAATCCTAATTTTATTGTTTCGCTTCCGTATTCAATTTATAATTTATTTCTTTTCAAATTTCCAGGTCGTTACATATGTTTTTTTATCTCAAGTTCCTAGCAACCAAAACTCCTGAACCCTTGGACTGACAACAAGTCACTCATTTCACTAGGTGGTCCCTACCACCCTCTTCTCTAACTCTCCTACCCACAGAAATCTCCTCAATGATCCTCTAATCTCTTAGCTAACCCAACTGGAATCTTGAAAAAGAATAAAAAATTAAATTGGTATGCTAGGAAGACAAGCCTAAATGAGGGTGACCCTGTCTCCTAGGAGAAATGGAACCCCCTCCAACTTTCAAGATCCCTAGCTATCTTGTTCACCCCATCCAAAAATGACCAGCTCCTAGGGTTGCCCCCCTAGAGGAACACCTAAGTATATACTTGGCCAAGATAATCTAGTACACCTAATTGACCTAGTAAGGTGGTCAAGGATATCATCCTCGATATTAATCCCACTAATACCTCTCCTAGCCATGTTAGTTTTTAATGCAGATATTCCTTCAAACAACTGGGTGAGTGTGAGCACACTTGAAATTGACCTATCATCCTTGTAACACCCAAACTTTTTATTATTACTTTTATAGAAATTATTTTGATTTTATTTTATTTTAATAATTAATTTATTTTGTAATAACTATATGGTTTTATTTTAATTTAATAGAAATAAAAATAATAATAATGATAAAATGGGATAAAATTATTTTTGGGATTCAATTGAAAATGATTTTGGGAAAAATGGGTGAAAATTTAGATTATGGGGGTGTTTTTGAAAAGAAAATAAAAAATTGGGGGTTAAAACGCAATTTAAAAAAATTGCGCTACGTCAGCATCCACGTCAGCAGCTCTGGCCAACCAGATCAAAAGCGCGCATGGACGGCCCAAATTTCACGCGTGCGAACGGCACAAATTGAATCACGCACGGACGGACCAGATTGCATTGCGATGGACGACCCAGATTTATTCTCAATTTAATCGCGATCAGACGGCTCAGATTAAATCATGATGGACGGCTCAGATTAAAAGGAGAAGGTTATAAATAACCTCATCCACACCCAACTCTAAACCCTAGCTGCCAGAACTCTCGCCGGAGAAGACGACCCACCCACCGGAGGAACCGGCCGCCGCCGCACCAGAGAATTTTTCGACCGCCAAACGAGGTAAAATTTCTCCCCTCGGCTCGGTTTTCGATGTTGAATCCACCTGTGGCCAAATCGGAGCCAAACTACCGGCCAATTAGCCGAAAAACACCGCCGAAGTCCAGCGGCGTCGCCGCAGGTTTCCTCGGTTTTCACCTCCGATGAGGCCCTTCCCGGTTCCTGTTCGATTTAATTTTTACACCACTTTGATCACCGTTCTTTTCTCTACAAGTTGACCAAAGCAAAACACCAAATCGCGATTCGTGCCGGAGGAGCTGTCGTACCTGAGAGCTCTGCCGCCGGTAAGTCTCAGTTTTCGGTATTTTTTTGGCCCATTGAGGGCCCTAGGGGGTTTTTATCACAGGAACCAATGCAAGTTTGGTCAAATACGGCCGAAAACGGCCAGAAATGGCCAACCCGAGGCCGACCCGAGTCGCCGTGCCGGAATTTCGAAATTGGCCGAGTAGGCCTTGGGTCTGATTTTGAGTTTTTTCGGGACACGTGTAGGTACCGGATGTGTATTTCAGTTCCCGGAAAAAAATTCAGAGAATCTAGGGATTGCCCGTAGGAGCAGTGAGAATCCGATTTCAGACTCCGAAACAAGTAAGGATCTCTCACCCTATTTCTTATCACAGCATTAAAGTTTAATAAATGATAAAACGGTATTTTATGAATTAATGGATATGTGTAATTAATTAAAGTTGCTAATGGAGCTCGAATCTGATATAATTTTGGTCAGTTGCTGTTTTAGTTGTTTTACAGTTTAAATGCATTATGGTATCTGATGTTTTTATTCTATGGTTTCGTATGCATGAATCATTGTTTAACTTATTATGGTTTGAATTATTGTGAATCCGATGTTGTGTTGGCTTGTTTAGTGTTCGTTACTGGTTTACGTATTCATGTTTGACTGGGTAATTGAGATTAAGGAAAATAGAAAAGCTATGTCAATTGATAAATGAATAAGTTGACAGCTTCACTAGATATCCTGGGAGACGGTGGATGGACCCGATCCATAAGAAACCCTACGAGGAACGTGGTCTCTCATATCGGACGGGGTATGGAGACTTTATGTGTTTTGGCGCCCGTACCGGACGGGGTATGGGGACAGCCCGTTTCACACTCATACCGGACGGGGTATTGAGGTTTATGGTTTTGGCACCCATACCGAACGTGGTATGGGGACGGCCTGAATTAAGTTATTAAGGTGAATGGTTCACGTGTAGCAGAGACCCCTATGGATCCCCACGGATACTGGTAGGCTGATAAAAGAGAAAAAATCGTTGCTTGATGATTGAAATATTAAAAGTATGATATGTGTTATGTTTCAGAGTGCGTATGATTTTATGATGTTTATAGTGTTGCTGTTTTTCATAAGTTGTTTTCATGGATCTCACTGAGGTAAGTGGACAGTAAGGGATTTTATTATTAATAAATAAGTTTGTTATAAATTGTGCTCAATTGATCGTTTTTATTTCCTACCAACCTTTATTTCTTTGACAGTGAGATAGTGTGATGTCTTTACTGGGGTAGTGTAGTTCATTCCTTACCATTTCAGATCAAGAGAAGTTGGGTTTCGAGTCCGTCCCGCATGAAGACGGCGAGTAGATGTATAAAGATTTCATAGTTTTATTTATAGCATTCATTACTAATATTTACTTTAGTTAGTTTATTTTTTCATACGTTTAATAC